CCGTTGAAAGCACTTGAGGGGCAAGGCAGTCCTGAACAGCACTCTGTGGCGATCAGCGGTGAGTGTACGCAGCACGCCACGATAATCACGACCCAACTCCGCTTTAGAGAGGAGAGACACTAATAGGGGTAGTATATTCTGTGCAGGAGCCTAGTGGCTGTCATAGTCCCCGATACGAGCCCGGCTGTGGGCCCGTCCACGTTCGTGCGCTAGGGTGACGTGAGCGTCAGTAAATAAGCGTCACATGAGAGTCCGTCAGTGTCAGCCTGGTCAGGGTGATAATGGAGTTTATGGGCGTCTGTGATTGGTTGTCCACGGGGCTGAATGTGCTCACGTTCTAGTATTCGGGTTTTGTGATCACATGACTCGTAGAGCGGCGTAGGTGCCATAGAAGGTTTCATGTCGCTTGATACCTACAGTTCCATCGCTCTTCTTGATTCTGAATTCACTCCCCTCTGCATTTGAACTAACTTAGATCTACTTTAACTGACGCATACAGGTTATCGATGTGACGGATGGACGCCAACAGTTAATGGTAAGACCCTCAAAATGGACTCTGGGAATGCCAATCACATGCCTTCGCTTCATGCCTCCCAACCTCTATTGGGTACTTGGCTGCACACCGCACGGCGACATATTCACCTTTACGCCTTCTGAGGAGGGCTTCGAGACCATCCTAAAAGGTAGGAGGGTAGGTAACTGAAAAAATATGTTTTTCATAACTTTCCCCGAAAGCAATTTCGGAAAATTGCCAACTCCTCCGCTCTACCACACTTTCTCGCATGCCAAGTTCGAAACAAGTAAATTATGTGAATGCTATTACTCGAGTAAGATTTTTGTACACAGAAGACACACAGGACCAAACGAGGGTCCCACAGGAAGATTTCCAAGGATGCTCGCGTCCGCGAAATCTGAAAATCAAGTTTGCTTCCTTTGTACCGAACCATCACTTTAGGCATTCCTCCAGATGCTAAGTGCGCGTAAACTAACATAAATTTATACCAGGGTAGTTGCACAGGGAATTAGAGCACTTGGCCCTAAATCCTTTATCTCTAAAGGCCAGCAGAATGTAAACTACCAAACCTATTGTTAGCTGGAGTTTTGAAAAATGTTTTCGATTAAAAAGAGATTATGAGGTGCGTTCGTAATATCGATTATTGTGACGCCTGATACCAAGATATTTCAGATGTGATAGAATGCTGGTTTTTGAACACGCTTCTTTCTGGCCGTCTGCATCGATAAAAAGTGGCTGCTTAAGTAGGAGGATTGTTCCATTGATTTTCGATGCTCTCATGTGTCCAAGTATATTTTCTAGAAAGCGGGCACACACATTTAACGTCTTACACTCATTTGGCAGAGGATAACGCTTTTTCCGTATTTTATTCTCGAAGACTAGCTATCTTTCGGAGTTGAAACGACTTTTTAAATTACGGAATAATTTTGAATCTGAACTGACGCTACACTTGGATTTGCGAGTTCCATACTTCAAATCGCCTACTTCCCATATAAGAAAGATCGGTTACTCTATGCAATTCGAAGATAACATCCAGCGCTCATAAATTTTGCAATGAGTGTGGATCATGCTGTATACTTCATAAATATTCTAACTAAATGGTCAGGTTAGATGACATTTGAATAAATATTTACGGTTTAAAAAGCTCATAGTCGGAAAATTTAAAACTAAAAATTGCCTTTTCTCAAAGCATAAAGTTAAATGGGCAACCGCCAACTAAATGAGCCAAAGAAAGCTTATGTTTATGTCTTTTACAGAATATAGTTAAATTCATATGAGCACCGAAAAACATTGGAAAAAATTCATTCTTCATAAGTAGTTGCTTTTTACCGAATATGCTTGTTGCATGCGACCAAAAAGAGTCGCATTCAAACGCCGACATTCTGGCTGGCATCCAAGTAATCAGTGTTATAACCGCACCTAAACACTCCTCTCTAATTGAAACCATATTTCTGGGCTTATGTTAACACATCACTAGATACTTCAGTTACTGCGACTCGGACGACCTTTGCGAGGGGAGCTCCGACCACTTTTGGGTAATGTCCCGTGTCAGATATACCCAGGAATCATATCTGTAACTTATCTCCTGGTAAACAGACTCTGCTATTTTAGAATATATCCATGCCTAAGGGGGCTCTCAATAAAAATTTCTATCGAGGTCTATATTAGAGGGATTTGTACATGACAGAATGCTGACTATCAACTGAAAGTTTTCAATTAACTTTAGAGAAACTAATGTATATTTCTATTTATTCCACAATTTTTCTATAGGAGGAATAATAGGAAGAGAAATCTACTTGGTTGTTTAGAAAATTACAGTTTTAAAACACGTGTTTCGACTTAAGAACAAATAGGCGTTAAATACGGGACCCATAAAAACACACAGGCCGTTAAAAATCTAAGACGGTATTTAGTGCTGCATGGTGTTTCAGCAGAATTTTATCTGAGAAAGTTACCAACCAGCCGTGCGAATCCCCTATTTTTGAAGTGCGCACTGAAAAAAACAGGTTGTAAAGAAGGTGCAGCAGCCGCTCCAGTCTTTTTTCTTCGGCTCCGTTTAGTCGGTACTGGGCGGGAGAATGTCTCGGACATAAAAGATGTTCAGATGGCAACACATTTGTAGAAATTCTCTACACAGTTTGATTGAGATTTGGCCTGAACTTGTATGGCTGAATTTCGTTGATAACATCCATCTAGAATCGCGACAGCGTGGTGGCAGCCGCGATGTGTGACATAGAAAAAACAGCAGGGCGAAGTCGAGTGGGGATTTCTTTTGACGGTTGAGTTCAGCCATGTCTGGAGGTTTCGCTTCGAACACCGGAGGAGGGGAGGTTGTCAATTTGTGGCGGTCAAGGATGTGAGATCAACTTAAACCACTTACAATAAGTTCGTTTTGCCTAATGTCAGAGGTCAGAGAGCTGTGAGGGCTAGTTTATTCTATACACAGTGCAGGCTGCCGTAAGTTGGCTGGTTGTCTGCGACAAGAGATAAGCGTCCGTTCGCGGAGATCGTCAGCCGCGGTGTGTAGTTTACGCGAGAGTGAATGTCTGTGTCAGTAGGTGGGGGTGAATGTCTGAGTGCTGATCATGAGATTGGACAAATTAGGGGAGGAATAGGGGCCGCATATTCACAAGGCCTCACAGGTATCACGCCGGAGCGTTCTACGCGCGTGAGGTGATGAAAGTTTGTGAGGTCAGCCGAGAGTCACTGAAGTTGAACCGGTGGTGTCCCAGTTCTAGCCGGCGGGGGTGGCCGTGTGTCAACAGCTGCCGCGGCCATCGTTCGACAAAACGGAGCCGGAGGAAAGGGGGACTGGAGCGGCTGCTACAAAGGTTCAACAGAAGCTTTCTGGGATGCCTACTCTACAACTGTGTACATACATTTTGATACAATTTGGTAAATGTGACACAACCGAACAACAAGAACGAGTGTCCTGGCCCTCTGCTTAAACAATAAATATTCTGCACAATTTCCTTCCATCATTTGTCCTGGAAAGGTATCACTTAGAGTCTTAGGAAAATGTCCTACGCATGAAAAAGGACTCGGATCGGTTCCTGGAGCAGACAGGCTCCAGCGGCGCGTCCCCCGGGGTAATGCGTAGACTGTTGTCCTGCTCATCTGTGTCGGAGTGCGAGCCCATCCAATGATATCAAGATATAAAAATGAAAGACAGTAACAGCTGCCGAAGTGACTGAAGAATGCAGACTTACCGGGCCTTTTATTTGGTAGTTTTTGCAATTTTTTTGATCTCAGATATTACATTCCTTGAGAAAGGAGCATTGGATTAATGTCCTGTTTGTCCCAACACCGACTGATGATATCGATTAAGTAAAATGACTATGGCTGGTTTTTGCTATTGAGCTATCTGTTTGAAAGGATTGGTGTTTTCCGTCTCCAACCGCAGGCAAGGGATGTGGTTTGCATATGAAGCAACCACACATAATCAGTGTCTGCAGAGTTTGCACAATTTGTTTGTCGGCTTCCCTAGTGACCACTTTTCTCCGTACGACGCGAAACACGTATAACAAGAACATGAGCATTAATTTGCGTAGTTCATAAAGTCACAACTGAAGTCAAAGTCCTACCAGCTATTCCAATTCTTTATTTTTTTGACAGAAAATCAACAAACCTACTGCCTGGATATATCGCCAGATGGACTGGAACTCGCAACTGCTGGTGTGGATCATCAGATTAGGATATACGGTCTTTATCCCGGATCCGTGACTGGGTTTGAAAAGCCTAAGAACACATTGGACACCCGTGGTCATGTAATAGAACCTGGACCCAGTAAGTTTGAAGGTGTTCCGAAGGGTGCATGACTCAAAACAGTTACAGTTGGCGCCGTCCCAATGATATCGATAACTAGCATCACCATCAATTCGTTAACCCTTTTTCCGCTTACACAATTTTAGTTCGCTAACCATATCTCTAAAAACAGTTTTTTGATTGCGGTGAAGGTGGTCTAGGCTTGCATTCATTCATGGAACATTTTTGTTAGTACATATGCATATAAATTTCACAGCTATATAATCTTACTATGTTTGCATTTATGCGGTTACCGGACTTCTCAATTTCCCTTCCATCTTTTGCAGTTTCCTGTGAGAGAAAACCCGAAAACTTTCCTCTGAACAATGAGCCGCAGCCCCGACTTCCACGGCCACTGTTCCCAGGCGGGAGGCCAGATCAGATTGTAAACAGATCCTGCAAGCCCTATATTGTCAATGCTTGTTACAGCACCCCCTATTTACCCCCACCGGCATGTGAATACCCTGAGCCTGCCGGCTACTCTGCGACTCCAGGCAATGGCATTGTGATCCCAGTCATTCTGGGTTATAAGCCAACTGCCCCCGGAGAAAATTATACCAAGGGGCATTCAATGAGGATCATGGCACTTCGCTATCATCCGAAAACACCTTATTTGCTGGCCTCGGCAAGCTGGGACAACCTTGTAAAGGTGAGGGACGAAACACAGACAGCTAAACGAAAAGCGTTACTCATGCTTTAAAAGTAGCCTATTTGTTTTAGATTTGGGACACACGGATTCGCGGTAAACCCGTTCACAAAATATATGGACCTCATTTGTGCAGTCCAGACGGACTTGACATGGATGATGTCTACATTCTGACGGCCTCCTGGAGGAAGCGCGAATGTCTACAGGTTTGTTGAGGATTTGAACAAGTTCTGCTAAGGTTAGGTCGTCTGCTACGATTTTACAACGTCGAATTTGCGTCCATGAGACTTGTAGCGCATCCCGTTGGACTTCTAATCAACAGGTCGCAGGTTCGAGCTCTGAGGACTGCAAAACCTGGGGGTGGGTACGGCTGACTAATGACAGCTAATAGGCCGGAAGTGGCTATTCCAGTCTCCCTTATACTTGTCGGTAATGCCACTATGATACTAGCAACTGAGCGGCTGCTGGTGATGCTTGAGGTTGAGCCCCAAGGCACAAGTGGACGAATATGTCCTGTCCGGCGACTGGTAAGCGCCCTTCCACCAATTTTAGAGAGGAAAAACATATTACAGTTGGGTTAATATTCATAGAGGGAAAACAAAGATAGGGGTGTATTAGAGAAGACACAATCAAACGTTTCTGACTTCTCGGTTTTATGCTCTATTGTTTTTTGTGCTGCAAATCCAATTCTGTGATTTTGATGTAATTTAACCCTCATTCCTTTTCAGATTTGGGATATGCGTCAGCTGGCTTCGAAAACAAGCCCGCCATCAGCGCCGGGTGATCCGATGGAGGATCCGACCCTCACATTAGTCAAGCAAGCCTACATGACACCCGCGGAGTCCATCCCAGTAGCCGGGGTTCCGACTTGGGAAAAGACACCAAATGAAGATCAGGGCGAGTATCTGTATGCAGCGAAGCTACTACCAAGTCGAGCTGTCATCTGCGGCGGTTCTGGCTTCAAGGAGGTCCGAATCGTGCATCGCGACACAAAACTGGTGCGTTGTCTTTTTAGGAAGGAGATCGGTGCAGGATGTGGGTAGTTTACATGACAAGACGTACACATGCAAGAAGTGGTTGCGGAGGGCATTGTCGCTGATTAGAACTTTTGTATCAGTTAGGCCCTTCCCGGCGACAATTTGGGTTCTTGAATGCTCTTTGTTTGGTTAGGTACACAATTTGCCTTTAGTCATGACAACCAAGCGCGGTCATGAACTCCCTATCACTTTCGCATCTGTCATCCAATCCGCGCAAACAACTCTGACATGCTAACTAGTTGACCGTAATGACATTTAACAACGGCGTGCAGATTAATCAAAAAGTACAAGAATTTCCTCAACCATAACGCCAGACTGACGGTCGAGGCTCCAGATTTTTGGTATTCTTTGACTGTGTTGCGTTACAACTATTCACCGGGTTCACGGCCTGATTTTTTCGATCCTTTCGGTTGAGTGGGCTCAACCCCAACTACTAGAGTTACATAGTGCAATCAAATAGCCCCCTTTACCCAGAAGACTCCACACGTTTCTAATTACTTCATCAGTGGCAGTAGGAGCAGTAGTTAGCGGCTAGAACGCGGCAGAAAGTTGGGCCGGGGTGATAGGGGGGGGGGTGAAAAACAGGAGGCAGAGCCAAGTAGTTACACAGGTGATACTTGGGGCGGTGGGGGTAGTAGCAGCATCAGCAGTGGTTGGTGGTAATAGAAACCCTTTATAGATAATTGTGGTGAGGGTCTCTGTCCTGGCAAAAATACATACTCAACTGCTGGTAACTGAATTATTAAGAGGAAGCGGACAGCCATCAAAATGTCAGTACGCCTGGCTTTATACGTTGGCATTTCACCTGTCAGCTATTTTTCGTTTCATACAGCCTATTCTCCGCATTCCGATGGATTCGGTGGTTCAGACTCTGGACACCGTACTCGAGGGCCGCTACATCGCCACCGGTTGCGCTAGTGGTTCCATCACAATCAGTGGCCTCGCGTGAAACCAACATACATTGACCAACTACTTCCAGACAGCCCATTTAGTCCAATGGGGTCGTGGCTGCTAGACAATGTACCTCTTTATCCTTATTTTTGTTCTTTTTCTCCTAGGTGCAAGGCCGCTCCGTGTGTGTCTCCCATTTCGATTAGAATATGTTAGTTTCCTGGTTTAAAAATACTGTCCTTCCCACCTCTTCCTCTCATTCTCTCTCCCCACTTCTAGGACGTACATGCAGTTTGACTTAATAAATCTAAAATCCGATGTGTCTTTCTTTGTCTACTGTGATTCTGAGCGGTTTATGTACATTTTAGTGAAAAAATAGCCCTCCCCCGGAAATGCTAAACGGTCCTTTTCTGTTGAATAAAGAGGAAAAGTAATTTTCTAAGCCATTATGCAATTCTGCTACCGTCATGCTTGAAGCGGAGACGCCCACCTTCGTCTGTCTGCGCCACATAATAATGGATTGCAACAGTAATTTTACTTGACATTCATAAGCTGCGAACAAAAAAAGCCATTTTTTAAGATTCAGACGGCAGGATATGGCGGGTTTGCAGCCCTTTGTTCTGGGCCTGGGTAGTGTCTGCAAACCTGAACCGGCGCCCAGTTATCAGGCACTCTGGTTACATAGAGAAGTATCGGCGTATAAAATCTGTGGCCTAGAAGACGACGCATTTTTAAAGTCCCTACCGCTAAAAACTCGTTATTTTGATTTTTTCACTCTGTAGAGCCTGGTGCCGAAAGATATGATGCATTTCATTTGCGAGTTCCAATTCAAAAATCGGTGTCTCACTTGTAGAGCGCTCGACTTAATGTTCCATGACCAGGGCGTGCGGCTTGCTTGCCTAGTATTCCTGACCTGAGTTTGTGCTATGAATGTTTGGCGACGTCAAATGGAGCAGAAGCGTCTTTGTCGGTCACCCTTGACAAAACGCGATCGAAACTCCAAGAGAAGACAAAATAACTCATTTTTGATCCTTCATTCCGAATGGTTTGATAGGCGCCGCCAACGTATGGTCTAGTTATAAGCCCATCAAATATGCCTGCTTACCATTTATTGATTTAAGAAGTACGAAAATACTTAACCTACCCCTATATGCACCTCGTGATTATCGTCGTTTTAGGTTCACTTTAGTTTTATTCATCACCCCTCTTGACTCACTAAGGTGAAGCTGATCAACATCAAGGGAGTAAATGCAGGGGTAATTGCATGAAATCTCTAAAACGTCTCTTTGACTCCCAAATTTGACGAAAGCCCTTGTAGTTTATTCATCTCTTAATTAAGCTGGTTAGAGCGTTGACTGTACTAACGCCTTCCCCTTACTGTCGTGGGTTCGAATCCCACCGAGACGCCGAGTTTTTCACAGTTAGGTCAACATGAATCGTCTAGCATTCGTCCTCCGTACAAAACTCAATTTGTTGCCGATGGGGCGGCCGAGCAAGGGACAAAACATTCAAAAATATTCCGCAAAATCCTCAAGAGACTCATATTAGTGTTCTCAGACGAGAACTGTTGACACTTTCGCTGGCTATTAGTTGTTTCCGACATTAAGTAGGTTGGCAACGATCGGGTGAAGGCCCCCAAACACATGATCAAACAAAGGTGCCTGCCTTACGGTAAAGGTAGTAATAGAGGTTTTACGGGTGCATTATCGTAAATGAGCTCAGCTCAGAGAGTTGAGGCGATCGTTGTAGACAGTCTGGTGGATTATCGACAATGGCCTCAGCTCAGAGAGTTGAGAAGTGATCGTTGTGGACCCTTAATGTTTGTGCAATAATTTACCGTACTAACAACACAGGTATTAGCTAAAAGCCCAGACACGCGTGTTTCGCCGATCTTGTGCCGCTGCCTGACGCAGCTGCGAGGGGTTCGGCTCGTCAGTGGGTCCCCCAGCTTTCCCCGTGT